CAGCCAGGCATCATGTGACTGAGCCCTGGGCAGGGGGTCCTCGTGTCTGTGCTGCTGAAAAGTGGGTACCCTGTGTGACTTTAGCGACTTACCCCATGGCAGGATCTGTGCCAGCAGGCATGGGCCTGTTCTTGTTTTCAACTCAGCTGAGTTTGGCAGTCCCAAACAACACAGAGCTGGAGCCAAGTCACATGTCCATCCTAGGCTTCTGGCACTTTCCTTTGGCTCCTCTGGCCTGGCTTCCCCCCCCCCCCCCACTTTCCATGTCCTATAGAGATCTGGTGGTGAGGCACTGGGTAATGCTTGTCACTGAAAAGGCTTCTGGTGACCAACCCTGTATCAGGACACCAAACGTCACTTTCTGCTCAGTGGAGCTTGTCCTTCTAATTGCAGCAAGCTGTGGCCATTAGCTTCTGGCCTGCTGGGGCCTAACTTACCTGGCTCACTGCTTGGGGACTTTTTCTTGGCACAGCCTATTTACCCAGTGGCACTGGGAGGTCTCATGCTGGTCTCAGAGGGACAGCGAGCAGTGGTTTGTCCTTGAGTCGGAGATCTGGATAATTTGTAATTTGTTTCTTCCCAGCTCCCCTTGCCCTCCATCACTACAGATATTTCAGAATTAATAGTCATGTGTTGTCTTTCCTTCCAAAACAGTCTTCCTTTCCCCGAAAATGCTCAGAGTTTTGCTAGCACAGCCTGCCTGCTTGCTTCCTCTGCCCATGGCTCTGGAAGAGTTACAGCAGACAGTGTTTCGGGAGCTGGAGGTTCCGACTGTCTTCCCTGTACAGCTGCCAGGGAAGCTCCAGACAGAAGGGGCTTGGCAAAACAGCCAGGTGACAAGATTGAGCCTTGCTAGAGACACTCAAAAAAGAGGCCCGATAGTGTTCCTGTGACATTTGGGGAAGATTAAATGTGGATTGGCTGTTTGGTGGGGTGTGGGGTGAGCTGTTTCATCCCCCTCGTGCTGTGGGTGTGAGCCGTGTGCTGTTAGAAGAGCCAAGTATGGGTGACAAGTAGCACAGGGTCTGAAAGGAGCCCTCAGAGGACTCAGGAAAGAGCACATGCACGTGTGCACACACGCACGCATGCACGCACGCACGCACGCACACACACAATTTTTCTAAGTGGGCGCTAGAGATAAAATGAGGTTGATTCTCTCTCAGGTACCCTAGGATGAGCTCAAACTTGTTATGTAGCCATCACCATCGTCAAGTTGGCATCATCATCTTCCTGGTTCAGCTTTCTAAATCCTGGGATTACAGGTGTAAGCCAACACACATGGCTCTCCAGCTTTCTTAACAAAACTCTGAAGAGAGTTGAAGCTATAGTACTAGAAATCTGGGTAAGAGTATCTAGATTAAATTTAGCATTTTGCCAAATGTCTTGTGCAACACACACACACACACACACACACTCAGAGAAAGTATTCAGCACTTTAACCCTCCTGGGGAGGCTATTCTGTAGGGTGTGTTTTCTTAAGCATGCTCTGTCTTTGTTGAGCTGACTCAGCTCTGTGAACTGCAGAATGCCTGCTGCTTGCTATTCATGTAGCACCTCACTGACTTACTGATCCATTTGTGTGTCATATCAGTCCTCCTGTCTCACTCTTCCTGAGGGCTTGGGTACAAGTGTGCACCATCACACCTGGGTCGCTTTGTGTTATGTATCGGTCTTTACCAAGTTCAGGAAGTTATCTTCTGTCCCTCCTTTGTCTAAAAGGTTTTAACTCGTGGTGGTGGTGGTGGTGGTGGTGGTGGTGGTGACGATGGTGGTGGCGATGGTGGTGGTGATGATGGTGACGATGGTGGTGGCGATAGTGGTGGTGATGATGGTGGCGGTGGTGGTGGTGGTGATGGTGATGATGGTGGTGGTGGTGATGGTGATGATGGTGGCGGCGATGGTGGCGATGGTGGTGGTGATGATGGTGGCAGTGGTGGTGGTGGTGATGGTGATGATGGTGGTGGTGGTGATGGTGATGATGGTGGTGGTGGTGATGGTGATGATGGTGGTGGTGGTGATGGTGATGATGGTGGTGGTGGTGGTGGTGGTGGTGATGGTGATGGTGGTGGTGGTGATGGTGATGATGGTGATGATGGTGGCGATGGTGGTGGTGATGATGGTGGCGGTGGTGGTGGTGATGGTGATGATGGTGGTGGTGGTGGTGACGATGGTGGTGGTGATGATGGTGATGATGGTGGTGGCAGCGATGGTGGTAATGGTGATGATGGTGACGATGGTGGTGGTGGCGATGGTGGCGGTGGTGGTGGTGATGATGGTGATGATGGTGGTGGTGGTGATGGTGGTGGCGGCGATGGTGGTGATGGTGATGATGGTGACGATGGTGGTGGTGGTGATGGTGGCGGTGGTGGTGATGATGGTGATGATGGTGGTGGTGGCGATGGTGGTGGTGGCGATGGTGGTGGCGGCGATGGTGGCGATGGTGATGATGGTGACGATGGTGGTGGTGGTGATGGTGGCGGTGGTGGTGGTGATGATGGTGATGATGGTGGTGGTGGTGATGGTGGTGGCGGCGATGGTGGTGGTGGTGATGGTGGTGATAGTGATGGTGACAGTTTTCAGGATGGGACACCACAAACTTGCATACCATCCTTGCACAGTGGCCTTGCTAGTCTTCCTGAATTTCTCATCTTTGTACAGGGAACAGGTATCTCCTACTTCAGTTTTCCTTTTTCTCTTCATGTCTTGAGAGAGTCAGAGAGAGCTGGAATCGTGCTCTGGATCTTTGCAGGGTCTCCTTGGAGGTTCTCTGAGCTTGGGTGACTTTTCTTTTGCGTGTTGGGTGTTTGACTTCCACTTACTTGACTTTCTAGTTCTTAAGTAGATTATCATCCACTATTATTTCCTTTTGAGCCTTACAGTTTTCATTAGATTTGTTTTATTTATTTTATGTGTGTGTTTTGTTTGCATGTAGTATGTGCACCTTGTATGTGCCTATAGATGGTTGTGAGCCACCAAGTAGGTGCCAGAACAGAACAGAGGTGCTCTTAACCACTGAACCATCTCTCCAGCCCACTTCTTTTGTGAGTTTGTGTGTGTGTGTGTGTGTGTAAGAAGGTGGAGTAGAATATTTGAGTAGTTCAGGCTGGCCTAGGACTCCCTATATAGCCCAGGCTGGCCTGTGTTCCATCCTATCCAGATATACCAGTCCTTGGTCCTTGATGCACATATAAGGTGTCAGATGACAGTTTGGTGAGGAGCCATTAGGTTAGGTGTCAGTCATTTTATGGAGTCCAGGTAAGGGAGTGATACCCTTTCCTTAGTCTGATGTGCCTAGTAAGTTCTTGGGCCTGGTTTCCTGATATGATTTTAATATATCCCTGTTCCCCTACAGTCTCCATTCACCTCAGTAACTTACAGGGTGGCACTCTTAGACATAAGTGATTTTTCAGTCTGCTGGATGTATGGGTGCAGTTTCTGTGTCAACCCAGGGGCTTCGGTGTCATCCTCCCTCAAAGTAGACTCAAAACTGCCTGTGAAATGACGTCTCCTAGGCCAGGTACAGCCTGGGGACCAGTTTGGAGTCACACGGCACATGGGAAAGAGGTTTTCCAGTTGAAATTTGGTCCTTTTTTTTTTTTAAATAGTTAGTAACTCTGACTATCTTGGAATTCCCTATGTAGACCAGCCTGACCTCACAGAGATCCACCTGCCTCTGCTGGGATTCAAGGTATGTGCCACAATGCATGGCTTGACAAAATAATTTAACCAGAGCTACAGGTAGATGGGGTCTATGTGCTAAGTTTTCGCTTTCCTTCCCTCTCCCCTCTTCTTGTGGTACCAGGGACACAATCCCAGGCCTCGTGTCCTACAGAGCTCTCCCCTGAGCTCCATACCAGCCCTTTTTACATAGTTTTTGAGCGACTGTCATTTTTTTTCCTGTTTGTAGTTTATACTCTTTCCCCTGCAATGATGGCAGTCTTACTTGTCAAAGAGGCAAAAATGATCATGGCTTCATTGTTGGGGATGATCCAAGGACCTGAGAACCCTGCCCATAGTTAGTTCCCTCTTCTAACTCACTTGTTGCTGTGCAGCTCATGCTTTCTTATTTTGATTACGTCATCCTTTTTTGTCATTCGCATTTTGTCAGGAGACCAGCTCTTGCTGCGTTGCTCTGGCTGGCCCTGCACTGCTGCCTCTGCCTCCCGAGGGCTGAGGTCACAGGGCATCATTGTGCCAGTTTTCCATTTTCATTTTGTGCACTCTTTAGTTTACTTTAGTTTTGGGTTGTTTCATGGAGGGGGTTTCTCTGTATTGTTTTCAAGGCTGTTGGTCCAGCCCAGCCTCGAACTCACAGAGATCTGCCTGCCTCTGCCTCCCGAGTGCTGGGATTAAAGGCGTGCGCCACCACCGCCCGGCTCCAGTGTGTGTTTTAAAAAGACATGATGCTTCGTAAAAGTAAAACAGGAAAAGAGCAGAACGCCAGAGGGACGGAATCAAGTGGAAAAGAGCGTGCAATTGATTTGCACGGGAAGGTCTCACATGGTGGGAAAAAGTAAGGCCTTGGATTTTCCCAAATTTGATGAAAATTTACATCCATGAAACTCATCAAATCCTACTCTGAAGAAGTGCAGAGATCCCCAGTGCCACCTCCCCAGTGAGCCACTGGAGCTGTGCAGCAGCCAGAGGCCCGACGGCTGGGCTCTCGTTACTGCAAACGGGCAGAGCTTGTAGTGGAATGGACTTCTCCTCAGGAGTGTGTGGACCAAAGACACTACAGAGGCAGCTTCAAATACTGGAAGATAGCCAGGCAGGGTGGCGCTCACCTCTAATACCAGCACTAGGGAGGCTGGGGCAGGGGGATCATGAGTTTGCCTCATCACTCTCAAAGGCACTGCTGTCTGCACTGTCCTGTGGGAGGGACTGACTCAGACGTCACTCTGCGGCACCCGCCCAATGGCCTTGAGCCTTCAAAATGCATGAGGCTGCAATGAGTGACTGCAGTGTAGGAGACCTGCCACAGAGAGACAGACACTACGTGATTCCACTTACATGAAGTTGCTAGAGTTTCCACTTTGCAAAAAACAGCATGGGTGCTGAGGCCTGGGCCTTTAGTTTGTGGTGGGCTCGGAGTATCCCTTTGGGAATGAGAAAGCTCTGTGGTGGACAGTGCCAGTGACTTAACATGCTCCAAGCATGATCAAGATGGTCAGTCTTGGGTTATATAGATTTTTGTCACAACTTAAAATGAGGGTTTTGGACTGCTGATCCCCTAAAAGCTGGTATATGGCGTGGCAGGGCTGATGGGATCCAGAGGAGCCAGATGCTGTGGAGGGTAGTGGCATCTTGGTTCACCAGTGGACTTGCAGTGGTGGCCGCATCCTAGGGGTGTGGCTTCCGGTGTCAGACGTGACCCCTTATAGGGAAGAAGAGGGGTTGGCCGGTGCTCTTGGGCAGTAGTTGGAGACCTAGAAGGGCAGAGACTGTGTCTTCAGGAGCAGGAGGACCGCAGCCATTATCTACCATTAATTGTGTAAGTGCTTCCCTAATAAATACCTGGTAATCGTTTATCTGGGTCTTGTGGACTCATTTAAACCCGCCTTCAGTGGAGTGGGTGGGAAGGGTCATCATACACAAGAGGTGGCCAGTGACTCCAGGTAGGACAGCCTTTGGGGCAGAGAGGAGCTGTTCTGTTGTTTGGGGAGATGCAGTCCACCTCTAGGGGTCTGCAGGTCTCTGCAGTGGTCCCCAGTGTCCTGGAGGTACCTGCTGGCTGTCTCTGGGTTTGTGCATGTGTGAGTATCTGCTAGCCTCCTGCTGTGCAATGGGAATTAGTGACTCAACTTCCCCCTTTCCTGGGGCCATGATCCTGGAATTGGCTTGAGCTCCTCGGGAAGTTTCTGCATAGCTCTCAGTTTTCCTGCTTCGAGGGAAATTGCATCTCCTAAGCCCTGAACTCCACATGCATGACCATGTCTTTCTCTTCTAGGCCCAGCAGGTTGGAGACCCTTGAGGACAGCTATCACCTGGCCCTGCTACCCCGTGCCTTGGTAAGTGCAGAGAGTGCGGTGGGTTTCATGGGTTTTTACCTGCATGTCTGTCTATCTGTGTGTCCTGGGTCCAGCCTGGGTGTGGATCCCCTGGGTGACATGGCTAACTCTAGTTAGCAGAAGACCATCAGTCTTTGACCCCACTGTGCCCACCTAGTTTAGAGTAGATCCACCGGAGCCCTGGGCATGGCCAGGCCTTAATATGCCTGCTGGTTTTCTTAAAGGGTACGTGCTTTAATGCTCTCTGTGGTCAGAAGGCTATCTACAGCTGTCTATCACTTGTCTGAAGATGAAGCTGTGAAGGGTTGGTGAGCAAGGATACTGGACAGAGGTGACTGACAGGACACAGCTCTTTCATCCTCTCTGCAAAATGGTTCCCCAGTCCGGCTGAGAGCTACCGAGCCAGGACCTGAAAATATATGGCCCTGGGGTTAGAGTTGCTTTCTGCAGAGACAGGGAGGTGCATCTCCTTCTGGAGACCACAGGGGCTGGTGTTGGTGGAAAACTGAACTCATTAGCTGGGTCAGTCTGGCAGTGGGTTCTGTGTCACCAGAGCTGAGAACCGAGCCTAGCACTCTGTGACTGGGGACGTCTCTCCCTTCTCCTGTGCCATCTTTCTTTGGAGCTTCGTGTCATCCCTAGGCCTGTTAATGAAGGAGCTTGAACCATAGACTCATCCTCAGTGGTCAGCATGGATCAGATGGCCTCCTGCTTCAGAGTGGGTGTTGTCTGCAGTGGATCTCTGCAGAGAGGGTGCTGTCTGTGCAGTGGATCCCTGCAGAGTGGGTGTTGTCTGCAGTGGATCTCTGCAGAGTGGGTGCTGTCTGTGCAGTGGATCCCTGCAGAGTGGGTGCTGTCTGTGCAGTGGATCTCTGCAGAGTGGGTGCTGCCTGTGCAGTGGATCTCTGCAGAGTGGGTGCTGCCTGTGCAGTGGATCTCTGCAGAGTGGTTGCTGTCTGTGCAGTGGATCTCTGCAGAGTGGGTGCTGCCTGTGCAGTGGATCTCTGCAGAGTGGTTGCTGTCTGTGCAGTGGATCTCTGCAGAGTGGGTGCTGCCTGTGCAGTGGATCTCTGCAGAGTGGGTGCTGCCTGTGCAGTGGATCTCTGCAGAGTGGGCGCTGTCTGCAGCGGATCCCTTGGTTCAGACCACAAGTTCATCATTTAGGTCAGAGTCCCAGGCTCTTGACAGGCATTGGGCAGATTGTAGCCAAGAGTATGCTGAAATCCACTCTTTTATTTGCAACAACAACAAACACATTTGATCAAGTAGGAGCTGGGTCTTTGTGATAATGCATACCTGTTATCCCAGTGCTTGGGAGACTGGCAGGAATATCATGTATTCTTGGCCTGTGTGGGTTATAGAGTGAGACCCTAGCTTAAGCCCCACTCCCCCCAAATATAATTAGGGTTATTTCAACCAAATTCTAGTTTCATACCTTTTCTAACCTCTCCTTTGTCTCCAAATTGAACGGCTGATCAAATAGGTGCCCATGGTAGCTCTGACTGACTGTCACTATGGGCAGGCCCATTCCAGGTACTCTCTCTCTCTCTCTCTCTCTCTCTCTCTCTCTCTCTCTCTCTCTCTCTCTCTCTCTCTCTCTCTCCTCTCTTTCCCTCTCTCTCTCTCTCTCTCTCTCACTGTTTCTGCAAAGTAAACACTTTGCTTATGCAGAGCCTCATTATTCTATACCAGAACTTCTCACCAAAGCCATATAAACACCCTAGGCAGGTCCCACCCAGGCCAGTTGTGTATGGGGCTGTACACTGCCCAGATGGGCCAGTGCTGGAACTGTGACCTTTCTGAGTCTGGGGGCAGGGGCATTGTGTGGCAGAGCGGTGTAGAAAGTAAGTTGTGAGAGGCACCGAGTACATGTCACTATGGGGACAGGAACTCTAGTTGTCACATCTGAGGGCTGGGAAATGAGCTGGGAGAACAGCCTCAGGCTGGGAACATTGCTGGCCCTGGGAAAGGGAGGAGTGATGTCCAAGTTGGATCTATAGCACAGTGCCTAGGATCAGCTTGGTGTCTACAGTGCACTGACCCCAACTCCAGTAAGAGGCAGGACAGGAACAGCTCACAGATAACCCTGGGCCTCGGTGTGTCCCCACTACCCATCTCCAGTACTGAAATATACGGCAACACATTTGTTTCCTACAACAACTGGAATCTCCTGAAAGGTGTTCAGAACCAGCAACGTCGGGTCAGTGAGGCAGGGCACTTCCTGTGAGGCCTGACAACCTGAGTCTGATCACTGGAAACTACACAGTGGAAGGAAAGAATGTTGTCCTTTGACCGCCACATGCCTGCGGTGGCATGCGCCACCCCAAAATAAAATAAATAAATAAAGCTGTTCAAACAGGGACATAGCCAGATGTGGGGTGCTGGAAGAACCAACGTTTGGAGAGCCCTGGGGTGGGAAGGTCTGGGCAGCGGTAAGATTCTCAGGGAGTGCAGGAGCCCTTACCTGACAGCACGAAGTAATTGGCCAGAGGGGATTTGGTGCCAGGGGAATTAGCAGTTGGGAGGGGGTGGGGACTAGGAGGTGGTGTGTTTGGTCTCCCAGGGACTTGGAGCACTCCAGGAAGTGCAGCCTGTCCTGAGCAGAGCCCATCTGAGCCTGTACTAGGCGGGGCTACTTCCCAGCAAGTCCTAACTAGCAAGCTCAGGTTAAACATTTCCAACCAGGTTGGGAAGGGGGCCGAAATCTCCGGAGGAGCGGAACTTTCCAGAGGGGCTCTTCATTGTGTCACTTGGTGTGATAGAGGACAGTCCAGGTGTGTTGCCCTGGTGACAAAGGTTGCAGGAAGTGAGCAGGTGCTGGGTGATGCTGGAGGCTCAGCGTTCCTTCCAGAGGCAGAAAAGGGGAATTCGGTGAAGGTTGAGACACACCCCCTCCTGCTTTGCCGCTCCTGCAGCTCCTGTGTCTTGCTGTGCTAGGCAGGGTTATCTTTGTGTCCCAGAGGGGTTGTGTGTGGGGAGAGCAAAGGGCGCAGACGCCCTGCCAGGCTGTCTAGTAATGGCAGACATCCTGCAAAGGGAAGCGCTTTTCTTGAAAGGAGAGATGAGTCTTATCAGGGCTGGGTGGGCGGGCAGACTGCCGCCATGCAGACACAAAAGGTAGGAGCCCTGTGTAAGCGAGTCAGCTTCCTTCTCAACATGCGAATTTTAATTAGAGAAGTAACATATGCTTGCGAAACTTGAACCAGAACCAAATATAACAAATAAAGCTATATTCCTTACTCCATCTAGAGTCTCTCTCTTCTGGGAGGATCCACAAACCCAGAGTGATTTGTAATTAATCTTCTAGAACTCATAAAAAGCTTTAAGAAATACAAACGCACTAGGCCTATGATGATGGAGCACTTACCCAGCATGTACGAAGCCCTGGGCTTGTTCCCCAACACAGCATAAAGCAGGCATGATGACCATGCCTGTGATCACAGCAGTCGGGATACAGAGGCAGGGGTCAGGAGTGCAAGGTCTTCCTCTGTTACATATCAACTTTGAGAGCAGCCTAGACTTGTTTCAAACAAGCAAACAAACCAACCAACCAGGAAACAGCTTCCAGCTGAAGCTAATTGGGGCTGCTGCCACAGCTGGGTTCTAACTTTGGGTTCGCACAGACCGGCCTCCTTTAAAAGTAGTCCTTCTTGTTTCACTAATGTCCTAAAGTGTGTGCTGGTTACATGTGCACACCCTTTCTCACACCTGTTCCTGTGAGCACACCCATGCCCACACCTGTGTGCTACAGGCATGCCTCTGTGATGGCTTGGGGGAGTTACCTGGAATGAGCTCTTGACCGTGCCTGTGTTTAGAAAGCAGTGTACAGCTGACACACTTATCGTCCCATGAAGGCCAGCTGGGGCCAGAAGCCACCTGTCCAGATAACATGGCAGACCTGGCCTCACGGCCCCGCAGGCTGCCCCAGTAGGCTGTTCCCTGGATGTGAACTTTGCCCTCCCTGTGGTGTAGCGCTGTCTCTCTGCATCTGTCCCGCCAGCTGGTCTGTTTGTAAGTTTCTAGGCTGCCGGAGGAGAGTGTCTGCCCGTGGACTCCTTCCCATTGAGGACTGCTGTCACCTGCACTGTGCTCTCGTGGGTAGAATACAGGTAAAGAACTGCATGTATGCACCTTTCTGGCACTTGTGACCCGTGTGGATGGTGTCCCTCAGCAACACCTCCTCCTTCATCCCTCTGCAGGCCAGGCCAGATGTACGCAGCCTCCATCTGCTGTGTTTGGCCACATGGTTGCTCTGACTGAGTGTCCTGGGTCTTGTCTCATGGCCGCCATCTGCTAGGCTCTGCCCAATCACGTAGTAGAGTGAGTCAGTAAGAAGATGCCACATCTGGACCTGGGCTCTACAGCGCTAGCACACCGAGCTGGGTTGGGTCAGCTTTGTATGGAGTGGGGTGAAGGCGTGGAAATTATGGATTCACCAGACCCAGTATAAGTGATAAGTCGAGTTTTATTGGGGAAACAGCTTATACAGGAAACAATAAGTGACTGTCATGGCATTCCTGTTCCAAGGATGTAGACCCTGTTTCCCCGGTGCTCTCTGCAACCCAAAGGGGACCCCGGTTTCCAATCCTCTCCCATTAACCGGTCACATCTGAGTCTGTAACCACACCCAAAAGGCATGGCCACTGTTACAGGCACACAGGCAAATGTATTGCTACAGTGGGGCTCTGGGTAAACTATGGGAGGTGACAGCTGCCATGTGTCCTGGTCATTCTCCTTTGCGTGGGCCTTGCCTTTCCTCGGATTACTCAATGTGGGTTGGAATCAGGGGGGTTCACAGGAACACTGGGACATGGGGAAGTGTATGGCCTCCAACACGGACTGTGAGCCTGGGCACAGCCACAGAGGGTCAGAGGCTAGCGTGTGAGTCCACACTGTATTTCTGCCCCTCACGGTTTTCCTTGTCTGTCTGAGGGAAGGTTATTTTCCCTTCTGTGGAGTGCTAGCTGCTGTGTAAACCCCGGGAGAGGGTTGGGTTCTTCTCAACCAGGCTAAGTCAGTTTGGCAGTGTTAGGAGGTGGTTTTATTTGGCACTATAGGAGGGAGGCACCAGGATACTGGCACCCTATGGTTGGAGCCAAGGATGCAAGGATGCAGCTAACCACCCACATGCAGCCAACCTTGCCATGGGGACTTAGCCCTCCCAAAGGTTGGAGTGCTATGCTGGGAATCCTGTTACTGAAGCTGTCTCATGGGAGCTAGCAGAGGACTCTTACAGACATGGATTCAAGCATTCATTTCAAAGTAGTAGCAACAGGGCTGGGGCTGGGGCTCAGCGCTTGGCCCCTGGACCCAGGACAGCTCCACCAGAGCAGACAGGAAAATGAGAGAAGGTGCCAACTATATGTTTATAGAAAGAAACTATTGCTGAGTAAGGACAGTGACTTGTGGCTGTCCCTTCAATGTTTGAACTAATGACACTGCTGCTGTCTCTGCCTTCGCTGTGACCATTGCTCTGTTGCTGATGTAATTAAACAAATGAGGAAGGTAGTCTCCTATAGCTGTGTACTTGAGACAGGCCTCTCAGCTGGGGGGGGGGGCAGGGCGGGGCCTACTGCACCCTGCTGTGCTGCTGCCCCAGAACAGTGGTGTGCTCCCATTCAGGTCCCTTGTCCCTTGAGGCTCTGGGGAGTGTCTTTTTCTGCCTCTAGGAAATGGTGTTTGGATATACTCATGGGGAATCACCTGTCTCATAATCTCTGCTATTGGGACCTCTTGCAGACATTTTTGTTCTAGTAAAAGAAGTCTAGGGAGCTGGAGGGATGGCTCAGTGGTTAAGAGCCCTTGCTGCTCTTGCAGAGGACCTGGATTCAGTTCCCCCCCACATGGCTCACAACTGCCTATAACTCCAGTAGCAGAGGATCTGATACCCTATTCTGCCTCTATGGGCACTGCATGTACCTGGTGAACACATAGATACAAGGAAACACACATAAAATAAAAACTAAGTCCTTGTCTCATACAATACATCCCAACTGCAGCTTCCCCTCCCTCTACTCCTCCCAGTCTCTGCCCACCTCCCCTCCCCCAACCCCACTCATCTCCCCAGAAAAGGGTCCTGGGAGCAGGCAAAAGAGTCAAAGACACCCCATCCCCCCTGTGAGAAGCACCCCAAACACTAAGCCAATAACCATAGCATATATGCAGAGGATCTAGGGTAGATCACGCAGGCTCCATGGTTGCCACTTCAGTCTCTGTGAGCTCCCATGAGGCCTGCTTAGGTGATTCCATGGACCATGCTCTCCCAGTGTCCTTGACTCCCCTGACTCCCACAATTCCTCCCCCTCATCCTCCAGGTTCCCTGGGTTCTCTCTCCACTTAATGTTTGCCAAATGTTGGGCTATGGGGTCTCTGCATCTACTCTCATCAGATGCCAGAGGCTGCCTCTCTGAGGATGACTGGTTTATCTATGAGTATAGCAGACTATCATTAGGAATCATTTCATTGATTTTTTTATTTTATTTTTTTACAGTTGTGTTTGGTTCTACCATAGGTCTCTAGGCTATCCAGTCTGCAGGTCCTGGTCATTCAGGCAGTGTTGGGCATGGGCTCCCCCTTGTGGCATGGGCTTCAAATTATATCACTCAACTTCTGCATCAACTTTGCCTCTGCCTATCTTGCAGGGATGACAGACTATGGGTCAAAGGTTTTGTGTCCCAGTCCCACCACTGGAAGCCTTGCCTGGTTACAGGAGGTGGATGGTTCGGGCTCTGTGTCCTCCATTACTAGGAGTCCTTTCTAGGATGACCCTTGTAGGCTCCAGGGAGTTTCCACTACCCTAGGTTTCTACATCACCCCCCAAATACCCTCCAATTCCAGTCATCTCCTCCTGAACTGTCTCCCTCTGCTTCCCCTACCTGATCCTTCCTATTCCCACCCTCACCCGCCTCCAGTCCATTCACAAAATCTCTGTTTCCCCTTCCTGGGGAAATCATGCATCACCCCTAGGGCCCTTTTTGTTACATAGCCTCTCTGGGTCTATGGATTATAGTGTGATTATCCTTTACTTAGCAGCTAATATGGATATCCACTTATGAGTGAGTATATGCCATATTTGTCTTTCTGGGTCTGGGTTACTTCACTTGGGATGATTTTTTTTTCTAATTCTATCCATTTACCTGGGAATTTCATGATGTCTTTTTTTTTTTTTTTAACAGCCAGGGAATACCCCATTGTGTAAATGTATCACATTTTCTTTATCCATTTTTCGATTGAGGGGCATTTAGGTTGTTTCAAGTTTCTGGCAATTAGGAATAGAGCCACTATGAACATAGTTGAGTAAGTGTCCTTGTGGAAGGATAGAGCGTCATTTGGGTATATGCCCAAGAGTGGTATAGCTGGATCTTGAGGTAGATCGATCCCCAATCTTCTGAGGAACTGCCATATTGATTTCCATTGTGGCTGTACAAGTTTGCACCAGCCACAGAGGAGTGTTTCCCTTGCTCCACATCCTCACCAGCATGAGCTATCACTCGTGGTATTGATCTTAGTCATTCTGAACAGGTGTAAGATAGAATCTCAAAGTAGTTTTGATCTATATTTCCCTGATGGGCTAAGGGTGTTGAACATTTAAGTGTTTCTCAGCCACTTGCAATTCCTCTATTGAGAATTCTGCTTAGATTTATACCTCATTTTTCAATTGGATTATTTGGTTTGTTGATGTCTATTTTTCTTGAGTTCTTTATATATTTTGGATATTAGTCCTCTGTCAACTGTGAAGTTGGTGAACTCTTTTCCCATCTGTAGGCTGCCATGTTGTCCTATTGATGGTGTCCTTTGCCTTACAGAATCTTTTCAGTTTCATGAGGTCCCATTTATTGGTTGTTGATCTCAGTGTCTGCTATTGGTGCTCTGTTCAGGAAGTTGTCTCCTGTGCCAATGCCTTCATGGGTATTCCCCACTTTCTCTTCTGTGTATTTTATCAGCTCTCTGATCACATGGTCTCTCTGGTCACCAGCCCCAGCCCAAGGCTATAGTGAATGGCTCACTGGAGCCCTCATTATCATGTCATGGCATGATCAAAGAGACTAGATAGGAACTTCTTTCTAAACCATGAATCAAGTGTTACAAGGTTCTGGTCTGTCTAGTGTCATGAAAAACAGGGGACCACGACCAAAAAGCACTTGTTTCTCATCTCAGAGCCAGGTGTCTGTGCCTTGAAGAGCAGGATCCCCTCCTGGGAGTGTTCCCTGTGGCAGAAAGAGAGTGTGTGTGCCGGGGGGGGGGCGGAGGGAGGCAGCTGTTCTCTGTACTGCAGGGACTCAGCCCGAGGACTGTTTGCTTCCATTTCTGTCTTTCCCTGTGGTCTTCAAGCCCCAGGACAGCTGCATCCCCCTGCTGGTTCGTTCACGTGTGGTCCAGGGGCGCCTGGCCTGGGCCTTTTGCTGTGTTCACTGGAAAGCATTTTAGTGGCTGCCCAGCCTCAAGAGGCCAGGCTGATCGGTGCTGTTGAGCAATGGCTTTCCTAGACTCGACTCCCAGGCTAATAGTCAGGGAGCAGGGTAGAATGGGCTTGGGAGAGGGAAGGCCTGTGAGGAGGCAGCTTCTGTCCTTCACTGGGATGTGGAGAAAGAGGCTCCTCTACCTTCCCTCTGGGGCCGCATGTTTGAGCTTCTCTAGCTGTTCCTATGCTTCTGATTAAGTGGAGAGCCTGACCCGGCCCAGGTTTTAATCTGGGCAGTTAGACAAGGACCTTTTCCTTGGGGCCCATGTTGGGCAATGGAGCAAGGACACATGTGGGTAATTGGTGGGTGTGGACAGAAGGCTGGCTGGGCCCTTATTCCAGGCCACACCCCTGTCTCTGATCCAAAGGCTGGTCTGATATGATCAGGTGCCAGGGCCTGGGTTCTGCTCCTCCCAGCATGGGAAAGCCGAATGGGGATATAAGCCAGCCCAATCTGCCTCCTGACATCTCTGGAGTCACCTACAGCTCTGCTGGGGATCTGCCTGCCTGTACAAGCAAGGGTGACTGTGCTCCAACCACACCTTGCTGAGGTTGGTGTACCCACATGGTACTTAAGGGGAGTCTTTGGTGGGTGGTCCTCTCCAAATCCCCTACCTCCATCCTGGCTACTAGATGAGTGTCTTCTTC